ATATATATATATATATATATATACCGGGTGGCGCAAAAAAAAGTATAACTGTTTGATTACATATAGCTCAAAGACCATAAGCAGTAGAACCCAAAATCGAGTTTCATTGCATCCAGCGATGTCTAACTTAAATTTTGGTATATTTGACAAGCATTTTCGTCCAAGATTGACTGAGATATGAGTGTTTAAACTTTTGTTAGCAAATTTGAAACGGTCACAAATTAGCTAAATACGGCCTATTAAACTGATTTTTAGCTAATTTGTGACCGTTTCAAAATTGTTAACAAAAGTTTAAACTCTTATATCTCAGTTAATCTTGGACGAATATGCCAGTCAAATATACCAAAATTTAAGTTAGATATCGCTGGATGCAACTAAACTCGATTTATGGTTCTACTGCTTATTGTTTCTGAGTTACAAGTAATCAAACAGTTGTACTTTTTTTTGCGCCACCCGGTATATATATATATATATATATATATATATATATATATATATATATATATATATATATATATATATATATATATATATATATATATATATATATATATATATATATATTAAGATGAAAATGTTCTAGAGTGTGTATTATATAATTTCCATACCCAGCCGCGGCAGACAACATCTTTCTGCTTGCGCTGGGTATGGAAATTATATAATACACACTCTAGAACATTTTCATCTTAACATATTACAGAGTGTACAATTACACAACTAATATATATATATATATATATATATATATATATATATATATATATATATATATATATATATATATATATATATATATATATATATATATATATATATATATATATATATTTCAACAGACCGTGTTCTACAACCAGCAATCGAGGCAAATTGGAAACGAGCTACCAATGTTCTCTGATTTTGCAATTTAAAGCATCGCTCAATATAATTTACTGTTTACTACCGAAGCCATATTTCAACGGGTTATGTATTAATGATATGCAAAGTTAGTAAGGAAGTAGAATAATCATGCCCGTGATTTCTGGCCATGTGTTGTTTTGACTTTACTCAATCCTACTGAAAATTAACGGACGCATATTCTATCGTATCTATCACCGTCTTTCAAATTTTAATCATCACAAAACTTTTTTGTTCTCCCAATTCTCTTGGTATTTTCAAAAAATTTGGAATCACAACAATTTTCAACTTAAATGATATTATAACATTCTTTCGTAACTGTGAATTGTTTTAGATTAATCGAGGTGGTAAATTACCAAAAGAATCCTGCATTCCAGATTCTTGCTTCCAGATTATCTCAACGAAATGCTGCGAAGAAGAATATTCGGACAGGCTTACGTTTGCAGAGCTAGAATGTTTGCTCTTGAAAGAAAAAGGTAAGCTGGAACATATTATTTCTTTAGCGCCGTATTTTACAAGTTGTTTATCTTGAGTTTGAAGCAGTGAACTAAGAATACAATAATAGGACTCTTATACCCAATTCCAGCCTGAGCTTTTCCTGAAAAATTGACTTACAGATGTTACTATTACCACTGATACTTTTATACGATGATTTATATTATGCATTCAAATAAATGCCATTGACTTGCAATCATGAGTTTTCAACAGGGTCAATTGTATGCCTGATATTTTACAGTGTAGAACAGGAATATATTGGACAGCAGTTCTCTTGCTTTTTTTCGTGGCTTACTAAACCTTTCCTGATGTTTTGGAAATTTCAACCGCACGTACAACAAACGATTTGGCAAAATAATGAAAAGAATTTGGATTTTGGATTGTTTTCTACCAGTTTTGCTTTCTTAAAATTATGAAAGCGTGGGAAAACTTGCCTTTTATTTTAAGATGGTTAGCAAAATTTTGACACCATCTGAAACAAAAATGCAGTGAATTGAAGCAGCTAACATTTATATACAGGGTGTATCAGAAAAGGTAATCCAGCTGAAGAGTACTCTTGTGCGCTCACTATTGAGTGCACGGATTTAGTTTTTTATATTAATGGAGGACTAGAAAACGAGTAGCGTGCGTTTATGGTGTGATAATATTAATGCACACGGGGAATGTCGGGAGAATACGAGATGGTACATGGGGCATTTAATTAAAATTCATGGATTTTAGTTCCAAATGGGAGTTACTTTCAATAGTTTTTCACCAAATTCCAAAAGGTGGAAAAATGCGATTTACAGTAGCAATTTTTATTCGATTCATATTTGACCATTTTGTCCTATAATGATACGAAAAAGATATAATTGGACAGCTAAAGTCCCGAAATGTTTTGCAGTATGTATAACCCACAGTAACATGCTGAAGTTCTATTACCCTTTTTTTATACACCCTGTATGTCTTTCGCTGCTGTAGAGTAGATCACCAACCACCATCTTCGGCCAGGTTATAATAATTGGGCTCATTAAAATCCACTTTTCTTTCGATTGTTACTTAATTCATCAAAACGTTGCTAACTCCAGATATAACTAGTCTTTCAGCGCTCCTGAGGGGTTTAGGTATACTAACACGGACTTTTCCAACTTATAGAAAGTCTAGAAAATGTGAAAATGAATCCTCCGCCAAGAATCAAACCTTCGGAAGAAGAATTCCGTCTTGAGGAACACGATCCAGGGGTAAAATACTCTAATTTGTTCATTATAGCTACATGCAAACGACATTTCTATTACTGCGCATGATTCACTATATTATACTTAAAAAGAAGAATATACAAGTGGATTTATTGCATACTAAAGATTAACCATTCAACTTTCCGCCTTGGTTATCTCCCAGAAGAGCGCTTATATACTAATCTTCCCAAAATATATTTACCTATCTTATGTTCAATTAATATGTTTCAATCGTGATATAAATTAGTAAGCAACAAATGAATATAATCATTTTCTTGGTTATTATGAGCCATTTATCATCTGGATACGAACCAACCATCTACAATTCGTTAACATATACGGAAACTCAAATTAGTGCGCAAACAGATCACCTCGGTTTGGTCCCAAATTACATTCCACTATATTTTGCATGTTCTATAAAAAAGGTACTGTATGTTTCACCACTTTCACCTGATCTAAAATGCTTGGTAGCGTACATTCTAAAATTCTAGAATGCCCGAATCAAGCGTGGCCATGGGGGTAATAATCTGAAAACCTCACGCAAACAGTGTTCCCGATTGATATTGAAATAAAAAATGGAGATTCCAGATTATTAATTGGGAAATACGTTATATGGATAATGAATTCATGCATGGCATCGACTTTACGAGACATTGGCCGCGTAAAGAATATTGAATGCAGACGATATCATCATTCTCGCTTCGACTTCTCACCACAAAGCTTTGGATTCGAATTTCGAAGCAATATTCAATAATCCGAATCAAAATCCCTGGCTTGCATGCATTGAACGCTGGATGTTGCAACTGCAACCATGTAATTAGTTCTTATGTATCGCAAGCAAGAATATCCTAGTTCCAGAGGTTCTTGTGCGCCGCTTATATACTGTAGTTGCATGAAGGAACGGCGGAAGGGAACTTCTGGTGGCACGCAATGCGAATCTCACTTCCATGCTGAGTTGCCGTTTGAGAACTTGCAAAACCAGTTTTACATTTTGTGACGTATTTAAACTTCCAGGTTTGTCATACTACCAAAATAGCTCTCTTTTACTGCATGTTTGCCGTGTTTGGCAGCCTTGTGTAAAATATTAAAAATAAGCAGCCTAAACAACTCTTTAGAAACATGTAGAATTCTCGCAACATAGGCCTCAGTATAACAGCTATTGTAGTCGCTATTGTAGAGTTAAATAGCAAAAGCAACCTTGATTGTTAAATTTGTGGAATGCCGTTTGTATCTCTAGCGAACGTATAAATTCAAAAGTCAGAATTGAAAAAATAATATTTATATCTATAATATATGTGCAACGGAGGATATGGTTGCATGTCTTTAAAGGACAACGCGAAAATAGTGGCAAAATAAATCGTATATTAATAACTATTAAAGTCAAAGAATTACCAAAATTTAAAACCTTGGGCGATCATATATAAGCAACACTTTATATTTTACAAATCAGATTAATAGAGTGAACATGTCATGCCGTTAACTCAGGTCATGCCGCGATGGCAGCTCTTCTCCAGCGCACAAAATCTTTTTAACTAGTGAGTTTATATCTCAGAGGTTCCTAGCGAAACAAACGAAGTTAATCTCAAATATTATACCCACACTATAAAGTAAAGCATTTTAATATGTTCGTATTATTTCTGTGTTTTGTTCGTATTATTTCTGTATTTTGTCTCTGAGATTTATAAACATGCTTTTTTGTTTAGCCAATCACATCACTTCATGCGACTGCTAATTATAACTAACCAACCATGCATGGTGCATATTTTGTACCAAAGGAAGTGATATTTATATCGCGTGTCACCAGAGGTTCTCTTCGCCTCGCGTGAATAAATACGAGCGAGAATAGGGCGGAAGATATGAGAACCTCTATAGCAACCAGGATAACGCAAGAATCACAATTGTAGGAAGTTAGAATCGCAGACTACGTAAATTTCATTGTCAACCATAGACCTACGTAGAATGCCAAAGTCAATCAGTCTTCAGCTAGAAATCAAAGATGCTATCGTGACATACCATTGAAGAAAGTTCGAGGAAATTGGACGAGAACGATACGGAACTAAAACTAAAAGTGTATATAGATTGTGCGCTAAAGAATTAACAGTAACCCACACGGAGATCTGCGGGCTGCATGTAAAACTTTTCAACTGATTGGCCTATCAGACAAAACAATTTTACTACAACTTTTTGATTTGTTAAAATACTAATTATATTATAATATTATTGTTCATGATGAATTCTATTGGTTTAGCCATCAAATTAACTAGAAATACATTATATGCAGAAACCCAGTGTCGCTTTGTCAGCAAAACCATTATATTTTCCAAACATGAAGCATCTGAAATGATTGTAATGGTATCAAGATCACTTTATGCCTTTTATAGTTTTTAGTTTAAATGAAAAAAAAAAGGTCAGAAATGAGAACTTTTAATTTGTCCAATTATCGATTTCCCAAATATATAGCTATACGAAAGGTATAGGCGAAATATAAACTTCAACTGAATGTTTCAGTGTATCCTCTGAAACTCATACATGGCTTATATTATTACATATATTCCGTGTTTATTTTTTTAATTTTGAATTTATTAAATTTGCCAATAACTTACATACCATGCACATACATAAACATTACAAATTACAAGACTCTAACTGGCATTGGTTGGTTACAGGACTGGTGTACGTGTCCCAATTGCCATCCTACCCAACAACACATGCAGTATAATAAAAATGCATGTAAGACTATATTAACCAGGTTTTTTGAATCCAATTTAGCAAGATATAAATTAGTTAGTTTGGTTCTAAATAAAGAAAATGAATCGCAAGCCTTCAAAATTAGAAGATAAGCTATTCCAATGTTCACCTGTTCGATTGAAAAAAGACTTCCTGAAATAATCTTGTTTGTGAATGAAGATCAAGTTATAATTGTTAGTATCATAGTTACGTGTCTGATAGCGGGAGAAAAAAATGTTTATAGGTGATTGTTTACATCAAATGATATATAAGTTTATTTCTTGACTTGAAAAAACAGCATTAAGTCTGAAATCTCTCTCCTGCATTCTAAAGGTAGCAGCCGTATTTCCTGAAGTCTTATTGTCTAGGGCATGTGTTGGGGATAGTTTAAGATAACTCGTGTAGCTATATGCTGCACATTTTAAACTAGTAAACGATGTTTAATCGTATAAGGAGACCATAGGCCACCACATGAATACCCAAGTTTTGCTCTAACAATTGCAGTAAAGGAGTTTCCTGGTGCTGAGGTCTTTGATGTCCTTACACAACCTTTTAACAAGTCCACGACTCCTATTTGCTTTGGAGACGATGTTTTCAATGTGTGTAGACCATGAAACATTCTTAGTAACAGTAATTACAAGATCTGGTATATTTTGGACACTTTGTAACTGATTACACGCGAAGCTATAGTGTCTGGGTGTTTGGTGTGCACTAATTTCTTCCTTAAAAATGTATAATATAACATCGCCCAATTTTCGCTGTAATGACAGAGACAATCAACAGGAATCGTGCGCGTAGAGTGCGATAATTAGTAAATTATCTTCAGCATAGGCCATGGTAGATTGTTTATGTATACCAGAAAGAGAAGGGGCCCAAGGATAGACCCCTGAGGTACACCTGATGTAACAGGAAGCCATGCGGTCAAAAGACTGTCCGTCGATGACTACTCTTTGTTGTCTCTCCAATAAACTAGAAAATACATGCACGTAGAAACCCTCGCCTTACTGACAAAACCATTATGTTTTCTGAACATAAAGTATTGAAAGTAGTTATCATAGTAACACGATAATTTTAAGAATAGTTTTAAAATTGAAAATCACCCCCCCCAAAAAAAAAAATAAAAAATATCACTTTAAGTTACAAAATGATCAATTTTCCAAACATATATATGCTAGGTGTGTTATTATACTTAATGCTTTAATGCATGTAATATATGTAAAATTCAACCACAAACGCTTCGCAAAACGTTTTAAAATGCTCTTAAAACTAAACTGCCTTTTATCGAATTATTGGTAAACATTAATTGAGTTCGAAATAAACTGATTTCAAATTCTGGCATGAAAATAAGTTTGCTTTCCTCTTTATTTAAATATTTTAATATACAAAAGAAAGGATAATTAATAAAAATACACTGAAATTATATGCTGTCTTTTTTCACTTATATACGCAACGATCGTACCAGTTTTTAAAGCAATTATAAAACAAACAATACATCAATATTAAAAACAAACTTACCTTCATTAACGTCGGCGACTTTGCTCCATTCTTTTAGACGTTTTTAGACGTTTTATGGCTTTCAGAAAGGTTTTGAAATTTACAAAAACTTGCAAAAATACAACTTGCAAGAAACGTTTCTTATTTCGCTATCGTCATGCAGTCGTTATAATGCAAATTTCAAATTTGAACAATCAGTGTTCACTATTCACGACAGTCCGCTACATAAGTTTTGAGATCAGTGAGGATGACCACCCATGAACGATGAGCCATGCGCCCGCGATATTTGATGAACTTTAGACTTCGCTAGTGCGTTCCTTTCCCCTCCTTGCCGTTGGCTCGGGTAACTACGGAATCAGGAAAGGGTGGAACCAGAAATACCGTGCGAATCAAGTATTAATAATAACAGATTGCGCGATATTGTGTCGAACGCCTGCTAAAGTCAATAACAATGTAGTAGACGACAGGTCAATATCAATAAACTAGAAAATACATGCATGCAGAAACCCTCGCCTTGCTGACAAAACCATTGTATTTTCCGAACATGAAGTATGTAAAGTAGTTGCCATGGTAACACGATATTTTTTTAAGAATATTCTTACAAATGAAAAATCGCTTAAAAATATCATTTTTAATTACAAAATTATCAATTTCCCAACATATATATGTTAGGCATGATATTATATGTAATATAAGCTTCAATTTAAGGTAAAATTCAACCACAAACGCTTCGCAAAACGTTTTAAAGTGTTCTTTATAAAACTAAACTGCCTTTACTTTACTTTATTCTTTAATTAAATGGCTTTATCGATAAACTTTGAGTTTGCAATAAAATGATTTCAAATTCTAGCGGGCAAATAACTTTGCTTTCTTTTTTATTTAAAAAAATTCAATATAATAAAAAAGGGAATCAATATTAAAGATACACTGAAATGGGGCCCGATATGCTGTCTTGTTTAGTTGTTTCACATACGCAAAGCCCGCCAGGCAAAAGGCCGTCGGGTTTTAAAGCAATTATAAAATCAATATTTATTATGCGTGGTTAGGTTACTAATTCCCACCGGCTATTTACACCCAGGGAAACGAAAGCATTAGCGAAGTCTAAAGTTCATCAAATATCGCGGGCGTGACCAACGAACTTGAGTGGGTGGTCATCCTCACTGATCTCAAAAATATGGCTGATTGCTTGTAGGAGTGGGATAAGCAAGATTTCAATTTTAAAAGACATATCTTTGGAAAATCGTTTCATATACAACAAGCTTGAAGCAATTTTGTTTGAAGAAATGAGAAGAATTGATTTACTATGGGAAATCGTGAAATATACGGCAAGTTTGCTTTGAATTTTGTTGCTTTAACTTTAATTTTGCCTAAAAACATGAACTGTTTTCCTTTTCAACGAAGCTCTAAGTTTCATAAATTACCGTTTAATTTGAACAAATTGATTTGAAGACTGAATTAAAATTACCTAACAATTTGTTTTGTGTGTAAAACAGTTTAACGTAAAACAGTTTATGTAGTTTAGTTGAATGAACATTTCAAAAATTTCACGAAGCGTTTCAAGTTATATTTTACATTAAATCAAAGCTCACAAAATGCAAAATAATATACCTACCGTGTATATTTCGGAAATTTATTGTTGTATAGTTAAAAGTACGAATCGTTCAACTATTTTGCAGTTTTGTACAAAAATATGAAAAAATTAAAAATTTAAGATATCGTGTTGTCATTGCAACACTTGAGCGCGAGCCTGCGTTCAGTGTTGGCCATTTCTGAATACTTCATGTTAATTTAATTTTTGGAAAATATTGGCGAGGGGTTACTGCATGCATGTATTTTTAGTTAATTAAGAAAACGTATCATAAATAATATATAGAATAGTTGTAGACTGGCAACCTGCAAGAAGAGTAAACGTGGAATGTCGGTATAGGGAAAATCAATAATTTTGAAAATTATAACATTGGACTGGGTATGATAAACAATATAATTATGTACGCTGTTTTAATAATCGTTATAAATACAGTTTTTAAGCTGTTTGTTGTTTGTTGAAGATTTTTACCTGAGCTTCAGGAGTTTCTTGGAGCACAACAATCAAAATGTATTAGCATTTTGCTTACACGTACCGAGAAAGAACTTCTGCTGCATAAAAAAGGGACAAATACAACATCAGCCCTCCCAATTAACCTATTACTGGCTGAAATGGTTGGACGAAGACGCTGAGTTTGTTTGGGTTTTATATTTTGATTTTAGTAAAGCCTTAATTTCATTGGGTCCCGCATGATATCGTAACCGAAAAACGTAAAAAAAAACTTAAATCCTTATATCGTCAATTGGATTATAAGTTTTTTTGACGAATCGAAAACGTAGAGTTGTGTCGACAGAATCATAACAGAATAATTTATGTAGATATTAACATGGGAGTGTCACAGAGAACCGTCATTGACCCCTTTCTATTCCCTCTTATGGTTGATGACATAAAACCCAAACAACCTGAAACTAACGTATTGGTTAAAATTGCTGATGCCATGACCGTTAGTACACCAGTAAAGTCAAATAGTGATTATGCAACAATGGAGATGAGAAACATCGAGAACTGGGCAAGGAGAAACAGAATGACTTTAAATTCATCCAAAACTTGGGAGATACTTCTGAGTGGTGGAACTTCTAAGCCGCTACCAGTGCCTATAAAAGGTACTAAATGTAAGAAATGGTTAAAACTGCTAGGTGTTACTTTCGAGAACGGTGCGGTGTGCTGCTGGGACCTACACGTTGATGGCTTGTTGCCGAAGGCTGGAAGTCGAACGTATATTCTAAGAGTATGTGAAATGTACGGATATCGGAAGGAACATCTCAGTTATTTTTTTTGACTCAATTATATTATCGTTATTTTTTCTACGTTATTGGAATTTGGGGCTCGGCCCTGCGCTCATCCTTTTATCCTACCTCAAGTCAGAACTGAAAGATTTAAGCGTTCTTTTGTAAATAGTTATCTGTTTGACTATTTTTAGTTTTTAATTGCATGCGTATAAATTGTATTAAATTATTATATGGCAACCATCACTTCCGGTGAAATGGCGGACTGTGATTGGCTGAGAAGCACTTTCAGCGGTCATTATGGACCGGCGGTCCATTACGTAAAAACAAATGCATGCATTTTGAAACAAAACAGCAAAACTAGTTGCAAATTTGAAAATTATAATTTCATTTGTTATTAATAAGATATCGTGAATGTTTTTTTGTGGAAAACAAGGAATACATTGGTATTTTTTGTTTTCTTCGAGTATAAATGCCTATAAATGCCATATAATAAACTTTTTATTAACCTCGCTTGCTCGGTATGTACAGAAAAATATCGGGCCGCGGTCTTTTTGTACAACCCTCGCCCTACGTGCTCGGTCTGTACAACAAAGACCTCGGTCCGATATTTCTCTGTACGTACCGAGCGTTCGGTTAATAAGAAATTAGTATTTGATAATTATTTGATAATATTGTAAAAAGAGTAAATGGTAATATATATAGTATATAATTTTAAAATTAATAACTAGAATCATGTAGAGACACGTTTGTTGTGTCTATAAGGATTACTTAAATAAAGATTTTTGTTATTCTTATTGTTCTTAAAAAATACAGTAGTCCCCCGCTAACTCGAACTCGTTTAAGGAGGCTCCCTACAGTTGCGTGCGGGATGTTCGCGAGACCAGTTCGTGAACTATCCCACGCAACCGTATGATCAAAACAAAACAAAAATTGACCACGCTTTTTTTAAAAATAAAGCTATTTCTGAAAAGTTTCTAATAGAAAATAGCGTTGAATAATACTTCGTTTTGAGTGCCAAATCACTTGCGAGTCTATACAGCAATTCTACATATGATACGAATATCACTAGACCAAAAATAGCTGCGAAACAAGGTTTTTAATTTTTTTTTAAATATACACTGTCAACTGTAAAACATTTGCAAAATTGCATACAAACGTTTAAAAAGTTGTTTACTTCTCAAGAAAACGTTCACGTTTTTAGTCGTGTTTCTACAAGATTAAAGTCATTATATGTAAACAGAAAAATATTTCAGTTTCATAGCCTAATTGTTCATTTTTAGCAAAAAGTACAAAACCAAAGATGAAACAAAAAAACACGTCCACCTGTTAATAGGCTGTTACTCCTCATAGATTGAGTAAACGGCAGGATTCAATTACTCTTCAACCTTGTTTTCACCGATTTGATCCTTCACAATAATCCAAGGCTGTCCATGACACTCAAATAAATCGAAAAGTTGACAAAAACAAAACAGTAAAAAACAACATTGCGGCTCGATTTTGCTGAATGAAAGCTCGTTCGGCGCCCGCGTACAATCTTTTACTAGTCAGCGACGCTTTTCAATAGGGGAATTTCTTAGAATTTCTCGAGTTACACGAGGCTATTTTCTAACTTTATTTGCATTTTACTAATTAGTTTCATCGGTGACCTATCTTCAAATTTTGACCACGAATTTATTTTGCGGTAAATTTTATAAATTTCAATTTTTAAAAAAATCTTTAGTGTGGAAATTTCGCAATAAAATTTTCGCTTTTAAAAAAATCACACATCAAATTTTTTAAACTTTCACCACAGTTGCAGAGCATCATTCCCTATTGATATATGAACTAAAAAAGATAGGTCACCGACATCGTTTTTGTGATAGCGGCACATTTATGGGTTAAATTGGAAGGCTTTATGCTGTCGTCATGTCGCCATGGGAACATTGACGTTGTCGAAATCTAGTTCGAACTATTCCTTAGGTGACCAATATTACATATAATTAGTTTTATTTACCCACAAATAATATTTACAAGTTGAATATTTAAAAATATATAAACGGGCTAGAGACCTCTGGAAATCCTGTTGGACTTTTAAGACGAGGCCCCTATAGTTTTAGTGTTCAGTAATATAAAAATAGATTATGTACATAAGGACAATTTGCAATGAAAAACACAAACTATTTACAAACAAATATGGAAAATGTTTAAGGAATACTTAGTACATTACAGAATACTGTCATTAATATTCCTGAAATATTTACATCAACTAGACATCAAGTAATAGGATTTTGCAGTTTTCTTAAAAGAAAAATATGATTTAATATTTTTAATTTCTTCATCAAGGCAATTCCATATAGAAACTCCTTTGTTAAATACAGTGTATTTGCGATAGTTTGTTCTCTTATAGCTCACATGTAGCCTAACTTGGTAGAATTTCGAGTATTATAGTTGTATAGTTCGTTATTTTGTTTGAAGTAATCATTATAAAATTCCGGCAAATTTTGACAATAATTGAAGCGATACATGAATAAGCTGCATAGATAATCATTAATTGTGTAGATATCCAAGATTTTCAATTGTAAAAATATTGGTTCAGAATGATCCATATAAGATTTAAAACAGATTAGTCATACAATTTTCTTTTGCACATTTAGTAACTTTTGTAACCTTGTTGGGTATGTACTTCCCCAAACTAGATTTCCGTACGTGAGGTATGGATAGACCAATGCATAATAAATCAATTTCGAAGTGTTTTTGTTCGTAAAATGTCTTAGTTTAGCAATCAGACCCGCAGATTTAATTATGTTTTTCAGAACGGAGTTGATGTGGTTCTTCCATGTCAACTCTTGATCAATTAATACACCTAGGAATTTTACCCAAGGTACTTGTTCAACTATATCATTATTTATTTTTACTATGATTTCTTGATGCTGTAACTTATTTTTTTATTTAAAAATGACAAATTTTGTTTTCGATGCATTGATTGATAATTTATTGGCGTTAAGCCATTGCACTACTTCATTCATTTCATTTTGTATAGTACTAGCTAAAGTTTTTAGGCACGAATTTGAATAAAAGGCATTTGTATCATCGGCATATAAGACAAAAGAAAGAATTTTACTGCAGTTTTCAATGTCATTAATGTATATTAGAAATAGTAGTGGTCCAAGAATTGAACCCTGTTGGACGCCAGTCCTAACACTCATTTCAGTTGACCTATGTTGTTTATATTTGACCATTTGAGTTCTTTCCTGTAAATAATTTATAAACCATTGTAGACCTATACCTCTAATTCCATAGTGTTGAAGTTTTTTTATGAGAATTTCGTGATTGACAGTGTCAAAGGCTTTAGAGAGATCAAGGAAAATACCTACAGTA